AAAAAAAATAAACTATGTGAATCTTACCTGCAAATGGAAACTGCCATCTGAATCCTCTGTCCTCTGAGCTTCAGTATGGCTGAGTTGTAACTCTGATGGGACTGCGGTAGAAAATTGTGTTATACAGTCAGATGAAGAATCTTCTGGCGCTAGTTCTGAGTCCTCTGTATGCGTTGACTGTACAGACTCCACTGCTGCTAAAACCATATCTGTGGTATTAATATGGGCATCTCCGGCAAGTGAGATGCTAATGTTTTCAAAATGTCCATCCTCAGTTTGATTCAAGGTCTCTTTCTGCACAGTGTCCACTGTTAATTTGTTTTCTGTACTCAATGGCTTTGCAGTGTTTGGTTGACTGAAGTCTGAAGACACAGTCTTTGTACTGACACAGACAGTATCTGTGGCATCCGGCAGCCTGACCTCTGAAGTTTGAAGGCTTTCTGAGTGAGTTGTGTTCTTATGTTCAGATTTACATGTGTTCAGCTTTTTATTATGGATACTGTTTGCTTTTTCTGCACCAACTGGTTTTCTCTTCTTCTTCCTACCTTTAGCAACTTTTGGAGGCTTTTGAAGTGTGTTTGCTTCATTTGAAGGCTCTTCAAAGGTGTTGTTGTCATCCTCATCATGACTCTCCAACATTGGGACATTCTGCTGGTGAACTACAGACCCTGACTCACTGCCTTCTCCAGTGTGGACATCCATTTGGCTTGATGCTGCTGCATCAGTGACTTCAAGTTGCTTCTCTTTTTCATCTTTTTGAACGTCAATCTCTATGATCTCAGGGGTTTGGTGTTGGATAAGCGGAGCTTCCTTCTGTCCTGGCTGCATTTCAGGGCTACTTGATTTCACACTGAACTTTTCTGAAAGACCTAGTTCAGCCGTTCGGCCTTCATGTTTCTCAGTACCAAAGGAATTCTTCTGTTGATTTTTTACATCTGAATGGGAGAATTCATCTGTGGTTGAGTCATCAGGACCTGTACATTGTGTCTCTTGCAGTGATTGATACCCGTCTGATGATAATGTAGGAGTATCAACACCCAGGATGATGGTAAATACTTTCTTAGCCGTTCCAGAGCTTGCTTGATACTTCTCTGGGTAAAAAAGCATTGGGTCAAATGCTTGAGTAGATGAGTCCTTCTCTGGTTTAGGCCTGGAATCAAGATCTAGAGCAGAATGAGTGGGTTCAATGTTGTCGGTGTGGCTGTTTTCTTTAAACTGCACTTCTGATGTTGAAAGATCAGCATACAAATGTACAGGTTCATCAGAAGAGCTTATTACAGCATGTTCTTCATCTACAGCTACATCAACATTTGGTTTGACTTCCAAGAATTTCAAGCCATCCTCTGATGTCTCTGCAGTCCCATCATGAACAACTGAAACAGTATCCCATTTAGTTGAAGAAGCTGGGACAGGTTGTGTCAGTGGGATCTGGTTGGATTTGGTAAGATCAGAGTCCAGCACTATGGTAAAGACAGGCTTTAATGATTCACAGGATGAGCCATGAGTGAATTTGCAGTCATCTTCTCTTAATACAGATCCAGTTTCATCCCTCTCTTTAGATCCAGACATGGACTGCTGCTTATTTGTGTCGTGTCCTGATGGAAGGTTCTCAACATCTTCGGTTGCTTGTTGTTCTGAGCAAGGTGATATATCTTCTGTTTTACTTACTTCCTTTGTGGGCAAGAATTTTACATTCATACGATCTTTGTCATCCACTTCACTGTCAGCGGCAACCTGCAAAACAAAAACATAACTATTATGACCCAATATTGATAAACTTCATTCAGCAATATGTGCGCGTTTATTCAACTCCTGGACATTTCTTATACGAGTTTTTTTTTTTTTTATATAAAACTATAACAATACTGCATACTTCAACATTTATCTTAAATTGTCCTCGTTTTAAATAGCCTAAATCAATGAACTGAACTTTTATTTGTTGGCATGTCAACGGCTTTGCATAAATGTAATAGTTCCAATTTGATTACTGAATGAATTAGTTACTCCATCCCCTCAAGTGTGCAATCTTGGTGTTAATTTTGATCTGAAAATGTTGTTCAATGCCCATATTAAAATGGTGTTGAAAACTAAATTTTTCCATCTATGAAATAGCCAGACTTCGACCTTCTCTATCATTGCCTGATGCAGAAAGGCTTAGCTATGCCTTTATTTCGTCGAGGCTTGATTATTTCAACGCACTTTATTTTGGTCTCCCTGATTAGTCTATCAAGATATTGCAATATTTTCAGAATTCAGCCGTAAGGGTACTGACTTACACAACTGACCATCAGCAAATTTCCCGGATTCTTTTTTTTTATTGAAATTGGCTTCCATTACATGCACGTACTGAATTTTAAATTTTGATTCTAACATTTAAAACTATTAATGGGACAGCCCCTGCTTATCTTCGTAACTTAGTTGCATTTTATACTCCAATTCACTCTCTCCAACAAAAGTTATTTTAACGTTTAATCATATTTCAAAATATTACTGTTTTTACTTTATGGCATCAGCATGTGCACTACCCACTGTCACACATTTTCCAACTCTCTAAGTAAACTGAGGAACCATCAGGCAGAGCAGAATAATGCTGATAATGTAGTCTAAAGATAAGCTATGACATCAGAAATGCACCTGGCTTAAGTAATGTGCCACAAAGCAAAACAAGGAATATCCAGTATTTTTCTCAGAGAGCAGGTAAAAAACAAGCACTTAAAAGCAATGAGGTGCCATACTACATTAATGGCCCTAGACGCAGAGCAGAGTGGGTACTCCATTTAACAGGTTTTAGCTAGGATAGAGTGATTCTGTGCCCACGCCGCAGTGGTTCACTCAATGACATTTCTCCTGCCGCCCCAAAACCAGACCCAGAAAGAAAAAGCAAGTGTGTGTGTCTGTCAAAGAATAATTGTAGAAAAGAGATTCCTCTTCAAACACAAATTCTGTCATTACTCACCCTCAACTCATTCTGAACCTGTTTGATTTACTTTTTTGATTTTTTGAAAAATGTCTCAGTATTGTACATACAATAAAACTCATTGGGGTCCAGTGTTGTTTTGGACCCCACTTACATTCATTGTATGGAAAAAAAAAAAGTGAAATATTTTTCAAAATATCCTTTTTTTTTGTTCTACAGAAGTAAGTCATACAGGTTTGGAACAATAAAGGCAACTGATATTGCTTAATTGTACTTTATAAGGCCCTGATCAGACAGAAAACGCAGGTTTGGAAACGAAAGGTGCACTGTACTGACTTTTTTTGTTGCTAGGCAACCACCGAATCAGCTGTCCTGTCAGTCTAAACAAGGATTATAGTGCAAGCACTCTAAAATCTTTGGTTTTTCATTAAGGAAACTGTCATATTAGCAGAAACCTTAATAAAACAAAAAAGTAAAAAATAAAAAAACCTTCCAATGCAAAACCATATTTTGAAGCAGAATGAGTGGGTTCTTGCTCCCACTCCCATCATGAATCATGTGATCGGGCCCTAAATGTACCAAAACATTTTATTTTCCCAAACCCTTCCTGTGCAAGAGAGACACCACAACTAACCTGAACTGACTGGAGCGCCTCTGTGGATACTCCAGGCTGCTGAGGCTTGATACACTGAATGGAACTTTGAACTGGATCAGAGTTCCCTTCCTGAGTCCTCTCATCTTCCAAGATCTTCCTCAGGGCTGGGGTGTTTCCAAACAGCGTCCAAACATCTTGGGAGAGAGCAGTCTGACCCTCTGGAGTACAGCTTGTCTGCAGGACCTCGGGCAGTTTCTCAACCTCTAGTAGATTTCCTTCCACTTGTTCTGGAGCCTACCAAGAATCCACCATGGCAGTTAGTCTCATTACATTAGACGACTGGAGAGGGCTAATGGAGACTATCATCTACATTGTGGTTTAAAGAAGGCTTTAAATGTAAAAGATATAGCTTATCTGAAGTGAACTAAATCTTAACCAAATTGAAATCAACTTTGAAAATATTAAATACTTTGAAAATTACTAATTTGAAAAGGATGAAACTATAACCCTGGTGAGGTGTTAGTAATGAATACATTTCTAAGACGAAT